GTCAGCTAAATTGATATCATTGTGGGAAAATTCTACTACCAGTCCTTCATCAGCTTACACGAAATAGGGTAGTCTCGAAACCCTACTCTAATACGAATATTGTTGGTGATTCTCGAATTTGCCTTGTCTTCAAGAGATTGGCATTTTTCGCGCAAAGGCTCACCGACAGAAAGGACAAGCTGAATGGTAAAAGTGACGCGAATTGGTTGCGTCCTCTTTCAAAGCGGCCCAACTACAAGTTACGCCTCGATGGTCTACCATCAACTGGGCAGTTTGCCATGAAATGCCAACTCACAGATGGCCGCCTCATCGTCTGACCAGAGGCGACGGAGCTGGCCGAACACTCGGACGAGTGGGCTCCGTCGCCGACGGAGGCATAGCGACTGGGCGAGTGTCGAGGTGTGAAGGTGGCTGAACTGGAAGCCGCCAGACCGGAGCCGGAAGAGGTGGACGGCGAGAGGCAACAGGCTTGTGTGAAGGCGAAGGATGGCGAGGAGGTGGTGCTGGGAGAAGAGGAGGAGGAGGGAGGCGAGGGTGTGGCGGAGGAGGAGACTGCCAATGAAGGTTGGATGCTGGAAGAGGCGGATTTGGCCGTGGAGGACAGCGAGCTGATGGACTGTCGAATTGTGGATGAAGCTGTGGACAGATCTGGCGACGTCAACGAGTGACCAGATGAGGCAGATGTGCTCGGTTGGGCTGAGGATGAGTGCAGAATGGAATGATGGCTCGCAAAGGCTGGCGTTAGATGCAGTGTTGTTGAGGCTGTGCTGTTGACGCCTGCGGTTGTGGCAGTGCTGAAAGGAGGGAGGCTGGGCAAACCGGTGCCTGTGGACGAGGTGAAGGAGTGCGAGGTGAATCCGTAACCGGAGCTGCTGGGCAATGTCAGATTGCCGGAGGCACCGACGCCACTCGAGGTGGTCAGGGAGACGGAGGAATTGGAACTGTACCGAGCACTACCACCCTCCTATCATGACAGAAAGAGGAGGACAGACAAATTAAACATACAGACACACACACACACACACACACACACACATATATATAAATTAATT